TTTTTTTTTTTTTTTTTTTTTTACAGTTTTTGGCCGGGGCCAGGTTGAACCCACCACCTCCAGTATATGGGGCCGGCACCCTATTCCTTTGAGCCATAAACGCCACCCCGAGTTTTTCTATTTTTAATAGAGATGGGGTCTTGCTTTTGCTCAGGCTGGTGTTGAACTCCTGAGCTTAAGCAGTCTACCACCTTGACATCTCAGAGTGCTAGATTACAGGTGTGAGCCAGTGTGCTTGGCTGGTTTTGTTTTGAGACATAATCCATATACTGTCAGTCCCCCATTATTTGCAGATTCTGTATCTGCCAATTTGCCTAATGATTAAAATTCATTTGTAACCCCTTAGAGCAGTGAAAATTTTGAATTGCCTGATGTACGTGTTCCCCGCTGAACAAGGGGACACTATTTTTCTTGTTTTAACTATAGTAATGTAAACAAACGTCTGTTTAATGCCACGTTTTTCCTATTTCTTTTTACTTTTTCTTGGTGATTTCATTGTTTAAAATGGCCCCCAAGCATAGTGCGGAAATGCTCTCTAGTGTGCCTGCGTCCAGGAGGCTGTGATGTGGCTGACAGACGAAATGCATGTGTTTGGCATTAGTTATAGTGCTATTAACCATGAGTTCAATGCTCATAAATCAACAAAACATGTTAAAGTGTCTTCAAACATAAATACACACACACAAGTCAAGATTATGTATTGATCAGTTGACAAAAATGTTGTGACCAGAGGTTCTCAGGAACCTAACCCTGTTGTTTCCCCTAGGAGCAGTGGGTCAGTATTCAATAACACGGTGTTTGTTGGAACTTTACAGAACAAAACTATCACAAATAGTGAGAATTAACTGTACCATGTAAGATTCAACTTTTAAAATTCACCCTTTTATATTTTAGTATACTCACAAGGTTGTGCAACCATCACTGTCACTGGACATTTTCAAGCAGTAAAATGGTCTCACTAAACAGCAATTTAAGAATTATCTGTCTTTCCCTGTCCCCTGATCTCTCCCTGGTCCTTTTCAGAATGCCCAGGAAAACCATGGACTGGCTGTTCCTACCCCCTCTGTCCCAGAAGACTTTGCAGACAAAGAAGTGACAGGTAAGAGGACCTTGAGCTTGGGGCGTTTCCATCTTTCTTTCCTTCTTGGGTCTTGGATTCAAAAGCCAAGCATATGGCCATATCCACCGCTGGTGACACAAAGTCTCCAGGCCACTTGGTTACTGACTGCAATGGGTTGGAGCAGAGGGTCTGGTAAATGAAGAGAGCCAGGGCCCACTTCTGCTGGGGGAAGGACAGTGGAGGGACAAGGCCAGAACAGGAACAAGGGCATCATGAAGTGAAAAAACTCCAAAGTCAGAACGACCTAGCTTTGAATCCCAGCTTCCCACCAATTAGCTCTGACCCCTGGGCAAGACGCTCCACCCCTCCTACCTCTGTATCTTCCAATGGACAATGGGAACAACAGTTCCTGTCTGGAAGAATAAACCAATTGTTGGTATAAGTCACTTTATGTCACATCTCTGCTCAAACCCACCAATGACTTCCCACATGACTCAAAGAAAAGGCTTTTGCAAGGACTGCCCCGTGGTTTCCTTTCCTTCCCCTCCCAGTTCTGCCCAGCTGCACAGGTCTGCTGCTCCTAAAATACCTCAGGCATGTTTCCACCTTGGGGTCTTTGCACTGCAGCCTTGGTCCCCTCAGACTGGAATGCTCCTCCAGTGGACATCTGTGTGGCTCTATCCCTTATTCCTTCCCTCTTCGCTCAAATGTCACCTTCTCAGTGAGGGCCCCCTGACCACTCTATTTAAATTTGCCCTCAGATCCCCTCCCCTGTTGGTTCATTCATCATCTAACGTGGTAATAATTTGTTACACTCATTTGTCTGACTCATTGTTCTGTCAAAGCATAAACTCCAGGAGGGCTGGCATTTTTGTTTTGTTTTTTACTACTGTACCCCAGCTCCTAACTCAGTCCCTGACACTGGTGTTCAATGAATGGCACTTTTCAAAGCTGGGAGGAGCCCTACAGAGCTGCATAGTCCCCAGGCTTGCTACACTGTATGCTGGGGGCTGAGAGGAGAGTGAAGGATGGGTGTTCCTAAAGAGGAAGCAGACTGAGGGAGAGGGTCTGGGATTGGGTCCAAGAATGGAGGGATGTGAGCTGCTGGGGCTGGGGGCGCTCAGCATCTCATCAGTGTCCAGACTGTCCCGGTCATTTTCCTCCTGCACATTCCCGTTCCATCCCATACTCTAGATTCTGCTCCAGAAGTTCTCTGTGAGGTAGAAACCTGGCTTCTTAGTAGTTTCCGGGTCTTCAGAAAGTAGAAGTTGTGAAGACGACTCCCTGTTACAAATCTTGCACCAACCCTCTCCCCTACTTTCTCTATCTGTGCCATACAGCCTGAAGGGCTAAGGATAGATGGTGGCAAAGTGGTTATAATCTATTCAGTGTCTACTATGCCCCCAGCACTGTGATAAGCTCTTTAACTCTCTTTATGAACACTGACATTATACTCTTTTGATAGATGATGAAACTGAGGCTCAGCAAGGGTAATCAGTGTGTACGAGGTCACAATCTAGTGTGGTAGAGATGGGATTTGAACCCTGGCCTTTCTGGCTTCATCAAGGTCAAGGACCCAGCAAGAAACAGATGGTATACACAATGGGGATAACTGAAGGGAGTTTCATAAAGGGACAGTATACAAGAGTATAAGCATGGTTAGGGAACCAAAGTGGACGGTGATGCCCAGAGACTGACAACAATGGGAGTTGCTACTCCCCCAAGCCATGGGAAGGAGCTACCCTATAGGAACTGTGGTCTGTGGTGGAGGAAAGACAGCTGCTGCCACTCTGTGACACAACCAGCAGGCAGCCAGGGCACCAGCCCCCAGCCTCTCTTGTCCTCCCCACTCCCCCAGTCAAGGGCAAGGGAATCCAGGCACCGGGCACAGCAAGGTGGAGGGTGATTCTGGGAGAGTCAGAATGGAGAATGTTCAGTACATGCTCTAAAGGCTATGCCAGCAACAGGCAGGGGTCCTTTTCTAGAATGAAGGGGGCCACTCCGAGGACAGCTCAGGAGATCAGAGACAAAACTGCTCCCTCGCTTGGAGTTCGGGAAAAAATGGGCCAATTATTCTCTTAGGGGCCTACACAGACTGGCAAGGCTTGTTTGCCTCATCCCCTCCTCATTGTTGCTTCCCCTTTCTTTCAGGTACTAGCTCCCTAGTCAATGGCAACCTCCGACTGTACAGCTCTGTGGGGGACCTAAGGCCTGGGCATTATGGCCAAGATCCACTCATCCCCCCACCTCCCCCAGGCCCAGCTCCAGGGCCCCCCCAGGACACTTCACAGCTTTCAGGGGAGTCTTCACCACCACCACCACCTCCACCTTCCACAGCTCCCCCACCACCTCCCCTGCTGCTGGAACCCCCACCCCCACCTAGCATGGCTCCACCTCCACCCCCAGTATCTGGGGCCCTATCCCCACCATCTGCATCCTCTCCGTCTACACCCACCCCTCCTGATTTCATTCCACCTGCGCCACCCTCAGTCTTTCTAGCCCCACCACCACCCTCTTTGCCAGCCCCAACACACCCAGTGTCTCCTCATACACTGGAGACTCGTCTCATTCCCTCCGGAGGTGTCACCAAGTGGAAATCAGAGATAGCACTGAATGGCAAGCAGCCAGAGGGCCCCAGAACCAGCCCCTCCAGGAGTCCTGCTGAGCCAAAGGGGAGCACCCTGGGCTCTAACCCAGAGCCCCACCTCACCTTCCCCCGTTCATTCAAAGTGCCTCCCCCAACCCCAGTCAGGACTTCATCCATCCCAATTCAGGAAGCACAAGGGTCTCCCCCAGAGGAAGAAGGGGCCAGCAAGAAGGCTCCCAGCCGGCTCCCACTGCCTCCCAGCTTCCAAATCCGCCCTGCATCTCAGGTCTATCCGGAAAGGGCCCCTGAGCCAGAATGCCCTGGCCAGTCCCTGTCCCAGACAAATGAACAATCTGGGACTCCACCTCCAGCCCCTCCCCTGCCTCCACCTGCACCTCCACTCCCTCCCCCAGCACCCCCACTTCCTCCCCCAGCACCTTCCCTTCTCCCAGCTGCCCCTCCTTTACCTTCTGTTGAGAAGGTGCCCCCTCCCCCTACTGGGGTTAACAAAAGCCCCAAATCCATTTCTCCTGCTCTCAAACCCAAACCCAAGCCCCCTACCCCAGAGGACACAACCTCTTCGGCACCCATGGACTGGCGGGACCCCAGCCAGATGGAAAAGCTGCGGAGCGAGCTGGCAGCCTATCTTTGTGGATCCAGAAGAGAGGACCGATTTCTCAATCATAGGCCAGGCCCAATGGTGGCCTCTCAGGGCAAGGAGGGCAGGAAAGGCCCCAACCAGCCGGAGAAGGAGGTTCCTCCCAGCCTGCCAGAGAAAGAGATCCCACCAAGCGTTCCTGACAAGGGTCTTAGCAGCAGTGGCCCACCAGAGAGGGAGGCAGTCCCTAGCCTGACCCTGCCCCCTGTGGATTATGTTTCCCAAGACTGCCCAGCTCCCAGTGTCCGGCAGATCCGAAATGAGCTGGAGGCCCGGCTTTCTTCATCAGCAGACAAGGAAACCAAGCCCAGCATAGGGTCTCTGCCTCCCAAACCTCGGCTAGAAGGGGGAAGAATCTTTGAAAACAGGGCTGATAATGGCAGACTCTCCAAGCCTGTGGCCAAGAATTCACCACTTCTATCCACCACACCTCTGCCAACCACACCACTCCAGGCTAAGCCCACACTGGGGCCAGCAACACCACCCAAGGCCATGCCTGGGCCAGTCATGCCACCCAAGGCCATGCCTGGACCAGCTATACTCGGACCAGCCACACCACCCAAGGCCACACTAGAATCAGCAACACCACCCAATGCCACACCTGGGCCTGTGGTACCATCTACAGCCACAACTCTGCTCACTACATCATCTCATATGATGACCGAGAAAGATCTAGTCCCAGCTGAGCAGTGGGAAAAACCAGAATCTCAAGACATTTCCATTCCCTCCCAGCCAAGGGCAGAAGAGCCCTCAAAAGCCACTAGGCTGCCCACAGGAGTAGCTCTCTCATCTCCAGCCCTCCCACCAAAGACATCCCCTGGCCGGGCAGAGGCACCGTTTCTTTACAAGTCCCATCGCAGTCAAAACAGCCCCAGCAAAGAGGTTGCTGTGGTGACGCCCACCCTGTCTAGAGGAGAGGCTGCAGGGTTGGAGGAGCCTGCAGAGATGAAGGAGTCCCAGGGGCTGCCAGCCAAATCCTGTGCCTCAGTCCAGCCTGCTGATGAACTCCTTAGGCACCCTGTAACCGGGGAAGTAGTGGAGCCCGGCTCCCCCATGGCCCTGCTCCTGGCAGCCCGGCAGAGGGCGCAGAAGGGGAGGCCTGGAGCAGCTGCCCTAGGTCGGTCCTCCTTGCCAGGGAGTCTCCGTGGCTACACCCGCCAACCCGAGGCCGGCTCTAACAGCATCTTCTACAGTGAGGGCCGGCCCAACTCCTTCACTGTGGTCCCCAAGGAACCTGAGAAGGACTCCCAGCTGACCTCGTCAGCGCAGCCCACTGTACTCAGCAAATGGAAGCCCCAGCTCCGAAGAGACCCAGAGGGCACAGAGCCAAGCCCCAAGCACAAGTGGACAAAGGCAGAACCCCAGGCCCCCGTGGCCTGGGAAAGACCAGCTCCTTCCAAAGTCCCACAGGGCCGCCAGTTACCCAAGTCTTTCTCCTCCCCACCTTCCCCTTCGTACAAGAGAGAGCAGGAGGAAGAGGAAGAGTTCAGCTTTGAGGTCATCCCGCCGCCGCCAGAGTTCAGCAATGACTCCGGGCCCCGGGCCCCAGCCCTTCAGTATCTGGGCCGCCGCAGCTCCCCTCCCCGACACAACTTCTCAGACTTGGGATTCCCCCCGAACGCGGGCCCTGCGGAGCCCTCGACTCGCGGCTTCTCGCGCTTCCATGCGGATGAGCGCTACTCTGGGGCCGGGGCTGGGGCCGGGGCCGGAGGCTTGGAGCGCTTCTCCGCTGGGGGCCGTTCGCTCATCAAGAAGCGCCTGTACGTCGGTGAACCCCTCCGCAGCCCCGGTCCGCCACGCGGAGGCACTGGCCGCAGCCTGAGCTCCCCCAACTGCTTCGGGCCGCAGCCTGGGGGGCCCTTTGGAGCGTCCGGGGGCCCCGAGATGAGGCGCGTCAACTCCGCCAGCCGCGCGCCCCCCGGCGGCCTGCACGCGCGGAGACTGTCCCTGGAGGGCGCCGCCCGGGGCGCCGGGGACGCCAAGCACAAAGCGCCAGGGGGCGCCGACTACGGCTTCGCCCCTGCTGCGGGCAGGTGAGCTGGGGCCGGGCTGAATGCCCCGCAGGTGGGAAGCCAGGCAGGAGCCAGCCGGGCGGTGGCCGTCTGTCTACTTCTGGTTTTCTTCCCTGGCTTGCAGAGAGAGGCAGGGAGGGCCTCTTGCCTGGAGAGGGCGCTGTAGGCGGTTCCTGTACCCGCTCCCTCACTTCCCAGTTCTCCCCGCATCCGAGAGCCTGCAGCTCCTCTCCCACACACTAGGTCCCGGGTGGGAAGGAGGTGAGCCGGACTTGGTGGAGGGAATTCTCAACAACACACACGGGTTCAGGCCCAGGCAGGGAGTGAGAGTTCTGAGCGAAAGGGTATTAGGCGTGTTCTCTTTCGCCAGCAGGACCCAGGCCAGAAGGGGAGCCCTGTGTCTGTCTGGCAGACGGGTCCCTCCCTGGGATTTATAAGCTCCGGCTTTGTGGCGGCAGATACAAGGGGGCTGAGCCACATTGTTTCCGCCTGGCCCCGGGAGAGACGGGAGTTGGTTAACCAGCTGCGGATATTAAACTCACCTCTCTTGCTCTCCCGCAGGTCTCCTCACAGCACCCCTCACTACGGAAGCCCTATCAACACGTTTACTGTGAGGCCTGGGACCCGCCATCCCATCTCCTACGCCTACTCGGGGACTCATCGGAAAGCCACCTCCTGAGTCCAGGGTTCTCTCAGCTCTGCTCCAAGGGGTTGGATCTGGGCACTTGCTTTTGAGGGTGGTGGGAGGGACACAGCAGGTGTTAGACAGCCTGCCTCCAATGGACGACAACGGATGTGGAGGAAGTTTTGTTCCCTTCAGACGGATGGACAATGAATGAGAAATAGCCAGTGACCTGTGCAGACGGGGTGGGCTTCTGTTTCCCAAAGCGCTGGTGTAGCTGTAGACTGTTTACACATATGGGGGATGGGAGGGGAAGGAGGGAAGACAGGCGGAACCTTTAAGGGCCTGGGCACTGAGTTTCTGATATCTAGTACTATCTGCTTTAACAAGACTTATTTAAAGCAGTTTTACAAGCAAGTCCTACTGAGCAGGTTCTAAAAACAAGAGGTGGGGCACTGACTCTGTCAGGCTGTCATAGCGGGCCAAGGCCCAGTCCCAACCAGGTGGGGGTGCAGGGCACTACAGGTAGATCTCTTTAGCTTCCGTGGTTGCCACCCCAAGAGGTGATACCTGAGGTTCCTAGCCACATTGAGGTGGGACCAGGAATGTACATGTACAACATGTGGAGAAAGCGCTGGAACAGAAGCCCTTTCCTTGGCCAAGGGCAGAAGTAGGAGGATTGATGGTTCATTTTTTCCTTGGCCCTGACCCTTAGCTACAGGCAGACCTAGAGAGTGGAAATTTGGCAAGTTTGGGATGGGAGAGTGAGGATTAAGGCTTGCTCCTCTATCTGTGCAGCCCTGATTTGGGGATTGGGCCCCAGGAGCTATGAGGTCTGGGGCTTGATATCAGAGATTTTATGTGGCCAGTTCTTATATGAGATTTGGGGGGGCATTGTTCCTAGCCCTGATACTAGTCACCAATATTATTAAGGCCTTAAAAAGTGTAGCCAGGATGGATGACATTGGAGAGTGAGAGGTAGCAGAGATGGGTCTGAGGTCTGAGGAAAATTTGCTGCCAATTAGGAATGTGTTTTGGAAAGTCAAGAGTAGTAGGGCTAGGCCAGTTCAGAGTAGTGGAGACCTATCAGCAGAGATGGGAATAGAGGCCTGAGAAGAAGTTGCTGCCAATTAGGAATGTATTTTTGGAAAGTCAAGAGTGGTAGGGCTGGACCAGTTCAGAGCAGGGGAGACCTGTCAGTAGAGTGACCATTTGTCCTTTACCTGGACAGTCCAGGTTTATACTTGTTCTCCAGTGAATCAGACCCCCTTCCACTTAAAAGAAAAATACTGGTTTGGATGATATATGGTCACCAAACATATCAGGAAATGATATTTCTTGGTTTGTTTCCTGTGTCTTCAAGTCCTGGGAGCCGTTAGTAAGAAGGAAGCACAGGGGAGGGGCCTACCTCAGAGGAGCTGAGGGGGACAGCCAGGAAGCAGGTCCCTTTGGGAGCAAGATGTTGGACCTTTATGATTTATGGTAACCAGCCAAGGTACCAGATTGTCAGGACAGCAGGTGAGCTACTTCAGGGAAGAAAGTTCAGTGGTGGGTGCCCAGATTGCCAGGGACAGCCACCCTAATGGGGCAGGGTCTGGGTATCTGTGTTTAAGAAATAAACCACCCACCCCCACCACACAATGCCAGTTCTCGCTCGCTACATATGTATATATTTTCCTTGGACAGTGTTTTATAAAAGAGTTCATTAAATTATCTGTTGTGTTAAGGCTTAAGGGGTGGGGTGTGAACTCTCAGCTGTATATTGCTCTGAGGTGGGCAGGAAAGGGCTGGGTCTCACTTGGCTTGGGAAATAAACAGGCCAGTTTGGACTGGCCTCCAGCTCTGTGACTGGATTGATGACTTGGAGCTCCTGGGGTGTGATGGGAGGTTGAGAGAGCTCACCTGGGAAGGCTGAGCCCAAGTGCTGACTGGACAGATCAGCCATTTTGATGGGCCCAATTTTCTCTTCTGACCCTTAAGTTTTCTTAGGTTCTCTGAATCCCTTAAGGGGAAGAAGCAGGGCTGAAGTTGAAAACTGTGTCCTTAAGCAAATCTCTTTGACCCTCTGAACCTCAGTTTCTTCTCTTGTACAGGAGACATGATAACAAATACCTAGCTCATATTGTGAAGATTAGAGACAAGTCAGGCATTCATTTAGCAAGGATTGGGGTCACTACTAGATGCCAGGCACTGTGCTTAGCACAGATACACAGCAATCAACACCCGATGTGACTCTTGTTCATGACAAGATTATAGTCTAACAGAGAAGAGAGAGGATAAAAAGAGAGCACTCAGAAACATTATAAATTACAAGTGGTAGAAAGGAAAGGAACAAGGAGTGTGAGAAAAAACCAGGGGGTGAGACGAGAAGTGGATTTAGTTTACCAAGGTGGTCAGGGAAACCTCTTGAGGTGGTGACATTTACACTGATTTAGGCAGAGCATCCAGCATGTGCCTAGAACTCAGTAGTTGCTCAACAAATGGCATCTTTGGGTGACGACTACCTTACATAGCCCATCAGTTTTCCATAAAGCTTTGACATGGGGTCTTCTCTAAAGCCCCTACCTATTGTATGTGTTCCACAGAGCTGTTCCGGACCCACCCACCCCAGCAAAAAATTTTCCAGAAGAGAAGACAGAACCAGAGAAGTCATCTCAAGATAACATCAAAGAGTTGTGTTTCTTCCGCCCAGTCTTTTTATGGGAGTTGTTGGGAAAGGGAAGATGACTCAATTATTCGGCAGTGTGGGCTTCTAGGAAGGGCCTCCTAGGCCTCTCCCACACCTGGAGCTTCCTTGTTCTGTCTCTCACCACCCCCCTATCATGATGCCTTCATCCTGGTAACCCAGAGTGGGGACAAGGGCCCCAGCTCCCAGCAGGGCTGAGGGCTCTGAGTCTGGCTTGTCTCCCCTACCTGGTCCTTCCAGTGTCCCCCTCACATGCGAGAGGGCATGGGACAAAGGCTCCACATGCTGGCTCTGCCTCAGACAAACTGTGTGACCTTGGGTGTCTGCTGACTCATCTGAAAAGCAATGGACTTATGCTGTGTGTGGGTCTGAAACTTTGTTGGGTTTCTGACAAAGTTTGAGAACCCAATGAGAGCTCTCAGTCCCCAGCAGAGAGAGGCCACACATGCCTTTTTACTCGTTATTTATTTTCTTTCTTTCTTTCTTTTTTTTAGAGACAGAGTCTTACTTTGTCGCCCTCAGTAGAGTGCCTGGCGTCACATAGCTCACAGCAACCTCCAACTCCTGGGCTTAGGTGATTCTCTTGCCTCAGCCTCCCAAGTAGCTGGGACTACAGGTGCCCGCCACAACGCCCAGCTATTTTTTTGTTGCAGTTTGGCTGGGGCCGGGCTCAAACGCGCCACCCTTGGTTCATGGGGCTGGCGTCCCACTCACTGAGCCACAGGCGCCACCCTATACTTTATTTACATGCTCTACAGATCCTCCAACTGGAGGCTCCAGAGACTTCATGTTGAAACCCCTGAAGTGACAGTGGTCAAGGTGACAAATACTTAAGCTTGACAGTTAAGTACATTCACTCATTACTCAGGACAATCCTCTCAAATGTGTTGGTCATTAATACTCCTAATTCCATTTTGTTGATGGAGAAATGAAGGCTCCAAGATGAGAAAGGAGTTGCTCAAAATAGCCCACATGACTTGAAACTGTTCTGCATACTTCACCCAAGCTGCATCCATTCTTACCCATTTATCCTCTCCCAATCCTACTACCTCCAATTTTATTTATATCTTTGTATCAGAGTAGGGTAATGCTACTCTGCTGCCAAAGAAGTTTACTGGTTGTGGGTGGGGCAGATGTGCCCAAATCAGGCTGGGCACACCTTGGTTTCTGAAGCCTTCTCACTGCTCCCTGGGAGTGGCCCACAGCAGCAGCAGGGGAAGATCCAAGGGTAGGCTGTGCTGGAAGCCTTGGCTCCTGGCGTCAGCAATATGTAAAGGGGTTTCTCCCCCAAAAAGGTCAAGCTCAGCTTTTCCTAGGGCCAGACTTGTTTAAGGAGACAGGCTTCCTATCCAGGTAATCCTTGGGCTCCCTTCTGCACAAAGCTTTTAGATAGATGTGACTTTTGAAACTAGAGGGGCCACCTCATTGCTGAGCTGTCTGGCAGGCCTGCCACTACCTGCTTGGGCGAGCCTAGCCCCAGCAGCCTGTGGCTGCTTTCATCTCTGGAGCTCAAAGGGAATGGTAGCATCCCATCATTACTCAGCTGTCCAGGATGGAAGGCCACTGACTAGGCAGAAAGCCTGGGTTTCCTCCCTCCAAAGCCCCAGGGATGGCCTGATGCTGCAGGCCTCCGGTTGCAGCCTCCGGGGATGCTTTTGGCCAGGAAGGTGAGAGAAGATGCTTTTCTGGGACAGAGAAAGCAACCGAAGCAATTTATTGTGAATACTCCTTCATTTGCATGGATAGTCCTGTTTTCCCCTGCATGATTCTCCGAGACCTAGAAGCCTCATTCTCATTTGGCATGGATGAGCCACTCCTCCCTCTTTCTCCTCCTTGGAATTGTTCGAGCTTCACCGAATACTATGCTTGGATCCTCTCTTGCCTTCTGCACTGGCTCCCTTCCTCCACCCAGGTGTCTTGGCACCTTGCTCTAGTTTCTTCAGAAGGCTGAGTGTCACCTCCTGCTCACCTCCACCAGATGTCCACATTTCTAACTTTAGAAGTGGCTCCTACACACACGCTTGTGGATGCCTGGCCCTCCCCTCAGCTCCACCCCCTCCAAAAGGCGCTTCCTTCTCACACAACCGTGAGACCAAAGCAGCCCGACTCACGGCCCACCATCCCCAAATACTCATTCCTGCCTCACTACGGGGCCCCCCTCTGCTTCCTCAAGGCCAGCTCACTCTCAAGGGCCAGCTTAGGTGGAGGCACCTGCTGGAAGCCTTCCGCAGCCCAGCTCAACCCACATCCTCCTCCGAGGGCCTCAGCTCTGACAACCCTCACCTTCTAGCCCACTGCAGCTCCCGCTAGAGGCTCCATAGCCCTTATACCCCAACTGGTGTTACCTTTTCCATGTCTTTCTCCTCCCAGCTTATAAGCCCCACAGTGCAAGGACTGCCTGTCTTTTTTTTGTTTGTTTTTGAGACAAAGTCTCACTATGTCATCCTCAATAGAGCGCTGTGGCATCCACAGCTCACAGTAACCTCAAACTCTTGGGCTTAAGCGATTCTCTTGGTCTCAGCCTCCGAAGTAGCTCGGACTACAGGTGTCCGCCATACTGCCTGAATATTTTTTTGTTGCAGTTGTCATTGTTGTTTAGCTGGCCTGGGCTGGGTTCGAAGCTGCCACCCTTGGTGTATGTGGCTGGCGCTGTAACCACTGTGCTATGGGTGCTGAGCCAGGACTGCCTGTCTTACTTATCAACTATTCCCAGCCTCTAGTGCTGCTCCTGGCACTTCAGGTATTCACATTATGCTCCTTGAGGAATACAATTAATACTCAATTAAATACTGTCAAGCATTGTTTGAATTCCTTAAGGGCAAAAGCCATTGTTTCTAACTTAATCCAATGCTGGGACAGGTCTCTAAGGTTTCATCATAAAAGTGTCAGGATGCTTTCCTGGTGGAGCCAGACACTATGCCCTGTAAGTAGAGACCTGAGGACCTAAGATATGATGGTACCAGGTGAGGGAGTTCTGGTCGTTAAAAAGAGCTAGGGTGTGGGGAGTCAGGCAGCCCCTCCGCACAGGACAGAAAGGACTCAGGCAGCCCCTCAGCAAAGGCTATACCCTGTAGGTCAGCCACTCAGGAGGGCTAGCCAGCCGCCTGGGCTACAGCTCCCACAATCAAAGCGACTCTCGCATACTCTGTTTACTTCTCTTTGGAGCTCCTTTAGTCTTCAGAAGCCTTGTTTGGTGTCCCAGCCTATCTCAGCTGTGCTATAGGGACCAAGAGTAAAATTTCTGTCAAATATGGGCCAGAGAACTGAGAAGGAAGAGCACTTCTGGGGCCCAGAGTGGCAGAGGCCACCATTCCTCCCCACTGGAGAGTTCCCCCAGCCCCCTTTAAAAGGAAAGCCTTACAGTTCTAGAGTTGGGTTCCATTACACAGCTCCCCACACTGGTTCTTAGAGCCTCGCAGGGATCTAAGCACAGTGTGGGGACTCAATCAACTTCTGTTTTGATCTTCCACTTCTGTAGGATAATTATCCCTAGTGCCACTTCCAGAAGTGGAACATTTGCTTCTCATTCTTTTTTTTTCTTTTTTCTTTTGCAGTTTTTGGCCAGGGTTGGGTTTGAACCCGCCACCTCTGGTACATGGGGCTGGCACCTTACTCCTTTGAGCCACAGGCGCTGCCCTTGCTTCTCATTCTTGAAAATTAATTTTTTTTTCCTTTGTTTTGAGAGTCTCACTCTGGCACCCTGACTAGAATGTCGTGGCATTATACCTCACAGCAACCTAAACTTCCTGGGCTCAAGAGATCCTCTTGCCTCAATTTTTCTATTGGCCTCCCAGAGTGCTAGGATTACAGGCATGAGCCACCATGCCAGGTTGAAAATTAAATTTCTTCAATATTCCACTGACTGCAGCTTCTGCTTCCTCTCGCTCCCTTCTTCACACTTCCTTGCTGCAGAGGACTGTCTCCCAACACTTTTTATTGTTGCCTTTGCTCATTTTCTGAGCCATTCAAGAGGGTTTGGTAGGCTACTATATAATATCCACCCCCACTGTCTGAATCTTTGTCTCTATTTCCTTTTCATCTTCCTCTCTGTCTCTGTTTCTCTCTTTCTTTCTCCCCCAACCACCCTATCTGTCATCTTCCTGCGTTTTGGCTCACAACTCCCCAGCATTTGTCCCAAATACCCAAGGGCAGCATGGGAATCCATCA